AGTTTCTTGATGACTGCACGGCCAAAGATATGAAAATACACATAAGTGATAAGTACGTGCCAGCTTTGAAAGTGAAGTCATTCAACATTAATGAGGTTCTCTGTCCATCAGTAATACGATAAAAGAAGCAATTTACAGAATCAAATTTAATTAGCGCTTTGGGCAACAAAAAACGGTTAAAAAGAAATTCAAGAGATTATTCTCTTGATAAGTGCTGGACTCCCTCTGCTTCATATCCAGGGACTTCAGTAAGCTACTCGTATGTGGTGACTGTTTACAGAGACGAATAATTCTCAGGTTGTATGTCACATTTAGCTGCCAGAATACGTTTTCCTTATTTCATGGCTCGTTCTAAAGTTGTATGTTTTTTTATGTCAGCTTTTTATGCTATCTAAATGCGCTGCTCTTTACCAAAAAATGTAAAGGCTGAAGGGGATGCAAAGCTTATTATACTCAGTGTTCTTAGTTAAATTTCTAGGCGAAGAGAAAAGGAAAACCTGGCCTTTGATTTCGAAAACTACTGAAGAAAATTAAGAATACTGAAGTAAAGACGATTGCTTCTACAGAAATGCCCTCGCACAGGAATCAAAAAACATTAAAGGGACTTGACCATCTCACCGGTCAAACATAGCACAACAGACTTTAACTGACAAAAACTGGTCTCGTTCGTTAAGTAGTTAGTGTAAATAATAGACTCCAGATATGTTTTTTTAAGAAACCAAACATAGTACAAAATTACATTTAACATCGTACCGTAATGATTACTTCATTGAGTTTATTGAATGATAAGTTTTGCCGCTCAGGTAAGAATGCCTAATACTCTCTTCCGCACCTTTAACCTCCTAAAACGATTGGCGATTTTTCTGTTCGGCTGGTAAGGATTTTTGAAGCTAAGTTGCATGGGTTCAAAGCGTTAACCATAGCAAGAAAAGAGAACGAGTCAGTTTTACGTTTAGGTACTGACATGGGATGGTTAGTATTGATAATGTTGAGAAAACGCGCAACTGGGGGACAGAAATGTGCAGGCAAAAAGTAACGATACGAAATTCTGAAACTGGTGAGTGATCTTCGCGTCTGAATAAAAACTGTCAGTTTTGGAAATAGTATACTTGTGTGATTTCAGGCCACAAACCCCTGAGATGCAAGAAAATTTAAGCAGCAGTTTTTCTGGGATTTCGTCAAGAGGAGATTATCCTCTATTTTTCATAGTCAACTGTTTTGCGTTTTGCTGTATATTGATGGCCTGTCATACAGACCTGGCATATTCCAATTATTTTATGTGAATTGTAGTCTATACATCGTCAAGAATTTTTCATGCTGAACTGGATTAATTTACTTTTTGTAAATTCAACATTCTTTTTACGCGAGAGTTGGTTTCGAGATTCGAGGCTTTTCAGCCAAAGTCAGTGATACTCTATTGTGTTATGCTCTGACAGTGCATTCGTGTCATTGAAGGTCTTGCTTCCTACCGAAAAAATCAACTTAGCAATAACTTTATTGTTCCATTTTTCTCCGTTTTTTATTTTCATTTGCCCCACTGGTCAATTTTCCATTTCTAGATTAATTACAAAGGCAATATGGTTGAGTAGAGAGACAAAAACAAAGACTCGTTAAATAATGCTGCCTCCTACGTACATCTCAGTAACAGCGTGCCGCCAATAGTCAAGGTTAAGAAACCGGAAAAAATAGCAAATACGAGAAAAAAACTGCGTCTCAAATCAAAACAATTCAAAACCCCTTGCAAAAAAATTGCCGGAAAATTTTTAACTTTTTACTGTATTCTCTTCCGCTTATTTACATACTATGAACAATTTTATTTAAATGAAGGCTTTTAGTGAAACAACAAGAAAAGAACGTTCTTAATTTTAAGACTAAATACGAGGAAATTGCTTACAAACACCGACACTTCTGTATACCAGGGCAAAATTTATGGTAGAAAATGCTTAGAGATTTACTGACATGATTAATATCATGGAATTGTGTAATGATGCGGGGGAGAGTCGACAAAAAAAATTCGGCCATTGTTGTTGCAAAGTAGCAATTTAATTTGCCACTTTGTGATTTTCAAAGTGTTAATTTTAAATTGAATTACAGGAGACATAAAAATACAACGAAAATATTGTTGTGCTGTAATTCTTAACTGATTTACTGCCCAAGATGTTTCCTATGTTAGATCCATGACGTTGTGATGATTTTTCGCTTTTGACAGCTGCATACTAAAATGGACCAATTTAGATTGGCTCGCAGTCGAGAGTGTTAAACCGCATCCGTAAGCATAAGGGACGATAACATGTATCCATTGCTCGCGTAATGTATTCTGTGTCCCCCTGGATCGTATTTAATTGAAAAGTTCAATTGTCTTTTTAAAAAAGCAATAGGAACGACCATGCAACTCATCTTCAACAAAATACAATCCATTTAGGATGGTAAGTAGAGAAAACTCTTGCAGAAGAGCTTAATCAACAGAAGAAGGACCCTCTGCTTACAGATGAATTGATATCATTAGAAAAACCTTATATTAGTCGCTTAACAAACAACGCGAAAAACATTTATCTCCGTGGTAGGGAACACAGCCTTCTTTTTTGGCTGATGAAAAGCGCTGGTCACAGTTGGATTAAAGTAATTGAAAATCAAACCGGGGTCTATTATAGTTTGTACATAAAAGCCAAATTGATTTTGGAAAGCTGCCCTTGAAATACAAAGACCGCACGCACTATCTACTGCCGATTGCCCACTGACTGCTTTAAGTCAAGTTTTTTTTTTTTTTAGATTTGATTTCTTCGGGACGGCAATTTTAGAATTATCCCACGTATGATATTGTTATGCCTCATGGTCAAAACCGGGCAAAATACAAAATTGTTATCTGACAAAATTTGTTCGACTAATTGTTTATATCGACAATAAAAAATCAAAACATCGGGAAATGTCCAACACAGAAACATGACATATTAATTTATGTAAGCAAGTTGGAACACCGTAAACAACAACAAAGGTTAAGAACTCTTTAATTCATTTCTGTAAAGTATTGTAACATTTCCTTTTCAGTTTCAGTGTTTGAGGAATTAAATCGACCATAAACAAGAAGGATCTTGAAAGAACACCTGACTTGGACGGCAATTTCAATATTCATTCGATTCGACAATCGGAACTGGATAAACCAACAGAAATTGTGTTTGTACAGAGTAAAAAATATATACATTCACCACACTGGTAGAGAATCGAGGAGATAATCAAGATTCACTTCATTAATCAGTTTGCCGGAACCTCAGTACTACAACCACATCATATAGAAAACATTAGGCCATGGCCGGACGGAGAAATTGTTCTGGTTGTTGAGCAAGCTTGCAGCAGCATTATGAGTGAAACGTCTCTAAAAGTTGTCGTTCCATTGAGCATTTTATCTGTATGCGTTGTGGTGGCAAACACGCTAGTATGTGTACTGGTGTACAAGATCAAATCGATGAGGAATTATACCAATGGGTTTGTGGTATCTTTAGCGATCTCTGATATACTGACAGGTGTTGCGTTTCTTCTGCAATACAACGTTGAACTACACGTCTGGTCTCGTGCTACTTTAAATGTTCTATATTCTATTGTACTTTTTGTTGGAGCGACAAACCTTTGTGCGGTGACCTTCGACAGATATTTGGCGATATCATATCCATTTTCCTACGCTGAGACAATTGCGAAAGTTTTTAAGATCTTAGTGCCATCGATTTGGGTTTTGTCAGTAGTGATCGCATGTATACCACTAACGTGGGAAGGAGATACGAAACTTGTCAACACGAGGATTTACATCTGCGTTGTCCTGGCCGTTTGCATAGTTTTTCCTTATATCTTAATAGTCTATGCAAATTTCAAGATCTTTCGATTTGTTAGGCAATGTGTTCGACGTGAACGAGAACTAAGCATCTCTTCAAGCAGCATGAAATCACGTCTTAAGCAGAATGGTGTGAGGAAAGTCTCATCGGAAGCCAAGGTTGCAAGAGTCTTTGCAATTGCGTCCCTAATGTTTGTGTTGAGCTACTTTCCAACTTTGTTTTATACTGTAGCAGCAACATTTGGGTACATATACATTGTTCCAGATCTTTTATTGCAGTTCTCTCCCTTCTGTGTAGTACTAGGGTCTCTTGTGAATCCAGTACTGTATTCCTTCATGAAACCCGATTTTCGGCGAGCAGTTAATAAAATTTTGAGCGGAAAGCGAGCTTTTCTGGACATGAGAAAATCTCAAAGATCATCGGTGCCGAGCATTGGCGAGTACAGAACGCCTTTCATGTCAAAAACCAAAGATCTATCGCCAGGAGATGATGATGTTTTCACTGCGGAGCATAATAACAATCCTTTTGAAAGCAGAGTCTAATGATGAAAGAGTTCCCATGATTAGGGCTCATATATACATGATACACCAGTATAGCATGTTTCTTTCCTAAAAAGTACGCTGCTCATTCACCTTGCCATTGTTTGGAGAATTTTGTTTGTAGCCCGACAGTGGAGATCTGGAGAATCTCTTTTGCCGCGGCAAATGGGGAAGAGCACCAACTTGTTTTGGGGGAAGACGAAGAAGGCTTCCTGTAAAGTGAAGCATAACTGAAGGACGCCCACCGTTAAATGTGGTTTGGTAAGATGACTTGAAGACTTCTAATCAGTGTTTCGTCACAATGTAAATAAAAGCCAGTAAGTGCAATGACTGCCATCACTTCAATCAGTCCTCCTCGCTTGTTGGCCCTGTTTGGCTTTCCTGCACAAACGAGACATTAAGGCAAAAGATCTTTGGATTTCTTCCATGCAGCAGTGAGAAGTGATAAAAAAATCATGAAATCCTTTATTTCTGGCCTCGTTCACACAAATCCAGATATTTTTGAAACTGCATACATTGTTACACGAGTCAGCCTTTCGTCCACACGAAACCAATGAATCCGCTCTCCGAAACCGCATCTTTTCGAAATCGTTCCCTAGAGTGATTACTGGCCCTGTCCACACGAATCTAGGTAAAAGAATTGGTGGTTTCATAAAATTAATGTCCTGATTCGTGTGGACGGGGCCTAAGATAACAACTATCGAGTTACGTTACGTTAGCTTAGTTACGTTAACTTCTGTTAACCGTTTACGACTTGCACATAGGAAATTAAGGCAACAGATCCCTGGACCTCTTCTTTGCAAAGTCGTGGTAATCCAGTGCTCTTAACTGTTCTAAGTTGAGAACTATTGAGATTTGTTTCACCCGATTGAGACCCTCTTGGGTGCAGTCGCACTATGACGTGCCTTACAATTCTCCATGTGCAACTAGTAAACTTTACCAATAAAGGCGACAAGTCGTTCGCTTGATGTCCTTGATAGTCGCTGTACATTTGACTCAACCTACATATCTAACAATTATTGGATGCGGCCGTGGCGGCCAACACTCTCCGAAATCTCCATACTGAATTCTTTAGATCATATGCAAAAGCCGAATCCATTTTATTATTCATTCAAAATAATACCTGTTTTAAAAACAAGCTATATAAAACATACTTACCTCGATCGATGTTAAGTTCCCATCTTCATTTGCCTGTTTCTCGGCAGGTTCAGGAGATAAATGGATGTTTAGCTCTGCAGATATTCTCCAAGTAGCAGATGTCGTCCGTGAGGTTATATTATTGCTGTCCTTGCCGTCTTTTTGGGCAGTTGTTTGGTATTGCTTCTTCGCAAAACGTTTGATACACTGTTGTAATCGTCCCACCATTTTGTACTGCTCTACCAAAACCACGCAACCTCGTTCCAGGGCTTCTCAGTTGCCATCCATTTTTCTGGCAGTTATGCTGTACTATTGACGTCATTTTCCACATATCGCATCGAGATTTGAGCCAATCAGAAGCGAAGAAATATTTTGAATGAATAATAATATGTATTACACTAAAATATTAAGTATATTAAAATATATTTAAGTCCACAGCGACAAACCATTGTGTGGTGCCGGATTTCATAATTGTAGACCTGGATAAGTACAATAACAACTTGTATAAAATATAAAACGGCAAACTCAAACTAATCCTCACGCCAAGGCGACGAACAACTTTTGTTCACTTTTTCATCACCTTGCAGTAAGGATCAGTTTACCGTTTTATATTTTATTACACTAATTATGAGGTATATGGGCTTTTTTATGCATATGTTTTTTTTTTTTCTGATATAATACCAGTAACCTATGGCCTATGGCTGATCCTGAGCAAAGTAACTGAAACGTGTCAATAAAGTTCTTTTAAAGGTGGTTTTGTCACAATGTTGCGTATTAGTCTGTTACTCTGTTCACCGATTATTGTACTTTCTTAAGACTTTTTGTGCCTTAAACGTTCTAAGTATCACTTCACGACTGTGTCCAAAGCTATTAAGTCGGGTTTTTTGGCATGAAGCCTTTTCTATCAGTAATTCTGAGCTGAACTCCTTACACGCATCTTATATCGCAGTCAGATAGTCAAACCTGTTTTGCAGCCTTGAGGGTCTTTTTTCCTTGCTAGGGCTCTGCTCCTCTGTTCAAAAGAGTTGGCAAAGCAAGACACCCTCCGTGAGTGTTGAAGTAAACCCAGAAATTGTTACTGACACATCAGTACCACGAATATAAGACCAAAACTTACAGTTATCATTAAACAACAATTAAGGTTTCACTTATACCTTCAATCAGAACCCTGGATCAAAAAAGTGTAGAGAAATGTTTATATGTCACTGGAGCTTCATCGCCCCGCAGGGATTTTACAGAGAAAAAAATTTCAGTTTTCAAAAATATCCGGTTACTTGTGGACGGGGCCTTCATCTTATATTGGAATCCTTTCATAGAATTATTTCCTTCAAAGTAAATGCCAAAAGGTAGATCAAAAGAAAGATACCAGTATCCAACCGAATCGCAGCCTCACCCGTGTGGGGGTACATTTTGTGCTGGATATATAACGTAAGTTACGATCGCAAAAAGTCCATAATTTGCAGAACGGATCGACTTGTGTGTTCTCGGCTACGCGAATAAAACCTTTTTAACTATTTCGAAAACACTCTCGAACTTTTTTGGACACCTCCTTTACCTGAGAAAATGAGAAGTTAAAAGAGGACAAAGCAACTGCAACTCTGAAAAGAATTAATCTGTTCTAATATTTATTCAAGTAAATCAAATTTCGTGAGCCCAACAATTATTTTCAAACACTGATGAATTACTTTACAGCTCCACTCTTCTGCAATAATTTTCAAGTCTTTCCTTAACTCTCCCAACAAATTGAGCATAACGATCGATGATGTTCGCGTTGCATCCATTTTCATTTTCCGTCTTGTAACAGTCAAACCATACCCTCGCGTCACTACAAATCTTTTCGTTTTCCGATAGCGCCTCCAAAAACAATTTACTGCATTTGAGGTGAATTTTCCTGGCACATTCAGCTTTGCTTGCATCCACTGAAACAAGGAAGAGAACAGATATCAGGTGAATTTTATTTATTTCTGGCAAGTTATGTTCCATTACTTTTCATTCAAATACTTCTCCGTTTCTGACTGAAATAAATCCCATGGCTGATTTTTAAATCAGTTAGCTTGACCACATTTGGAAGATATTTGCGAATATCAATGTAATTGACGTCGAACGTACTAATCAGACTGATTAATCCACAGTTCACTCAGTTTTATGTATTAAATTATGATAATTAATGATGGTAATTAATGACAATTATAGTATTTAATGATAACCATTAATGATGATATTGATAATGATTCGTGAGCACAGTGTAGCTACTAAATAGTGAGTAGAACAAAACGTTTTTTCTGCATAGCATTTGTTGCAGCTAAAATTCTTAATTCTTACCTGCGCCGTCCTCCACTCCATGCTCCTGTGCTTCCTCTGCGAATAAGCAGTTAACTGATTATTAGAGTTTGAAAATATGGAGCTCATTTTTTTGTAAGTTATTATTCCACAAGTAGGTTGAGCATGATCGTCCGGGAGAACGTAGTCCTGAATATGACCGTACTGTTGTTGACAATGACTAACGTTTCGACAATCTGCCAGGTTGTGGTCAGTCATCTTCAGAGTCAAAGTGAGTTGTATCACGTCATCTGATGATACCGAACTCTGGTTATTGACCTGCAGGGGCGTAGCTGTCTTTAAGCAATTAAGCCCGGGCTTACAAGAATTTAAGTCAAAATGAGCTCATGTAATATCGTGAAAGGTTATGAAAATGCTACTCATGTCGAACCCTTGTAAATTCCAACTTCCCATTTGTTCGAAGTAATCAAGTTTTGTTTCCCTTCAGATCATCATTTCTAAACAATTTTACCCTCGATAACTTGAACCATGATTTAAGTGCGACAAGTCGAAAAAAAGCCGTGAATTGCAGTCCAAAACATTGAATTTGTATAGGTAATAGCATGATTGGTAGTGATATTTCGCATAAATACCACGAGTGAGCGTAATTACAATTTTGAAATATCACGAGTGGTATTTATACCAAATATCACGTACAAATCATGCTATTATTTGTTTATACTACTACCCACAAAAGGTTTGTAATTTTCACATGTAGGAATTTCAAATTAAGCTGAAATACCACTGCTCTAAGCCAATCTAATTGCAGAAATTTCTCATGTTGTAGTGTAAATTTCAAAACAACTGTGTACTCTTTGTCTTTACCTTTGTGTCAATCCAATTCAAATAAAATGTAACCCTGTACTGATTAATCGATCTTTGTCGCTAAATTCCTTGTTCAAAACATCAGTCTATATATCTTGTTGCTCTTGTTGTGCATTATGCTTCCATTCCCGTCCATGCCATTTCCTTATTTTTGGTCATTTGCCTCGGAACTCCTAATAAATCGAACTTTCTTCTATTTGCCTTGTAGGTTCAAGTTATTGGGAGTCGGCTGTAATGAATGATTTTCCAGTAATCGGATACTCATGTTTTGCGCACAGGATTTTGGGATCGCCAGGGGGCAAACATTGCGAGTCGCTACAAAGAATTGTATGGCGTGGAGTTGTTTCTCGGTTAAAAGCAGTGTCTTTGGACATAGAATGCCGCACTTTGCCGTGATTTTATGAGAAACGGAGGTGACTAATGTTAGTCCGTTGAAATTTCAAGTTTCTGTGTGATTGATGCGATAAATTCTATCGATAAACACTCCTTGCGTGAGGTTGAGTGTGAAATTTATGTTTACTGAATTTACACAGTGATCCACATGAAGAAAAGGTCTCGAAATATATAGTGCAAATTTAGGTATACATGTAGGGGGATTGGCTCATTTAAGCTTTTAGTTTTAATTACGTGTGGTGATATTTACAACGAGTGTAACTACGCTCGGCCGCGATCAGCTCTGTGCGGGTTATGACGCTCAACAATCGTAGGACGTGGCCATAAAAATAAAAAATCCTCCTTTACTTTGGTATAAACAAAGTAACATCTACGAAATATTTCATGGAAAGTACATGGTATTTAACCATTGGTAGATGAGGCAGAAATCGTACGAACGAGTAAGATTTCCGATACAATAGCAGTGAGTGTGTAAATAAATACCAAGTTGAGGTGCGAAATTCAGAGATTCTATATCTTCCCTCAAAATGATCAGAAAAGGCATTAGAACTGATTGGTGCTCTGGATCATGACAAAACATTTCGCTTGTGTTTTTTTGGCTGGAAGGAATCAATATACCAATGTGGGGAAGATGTTTTTGCTTTTAAAGTTAATACTGTACATATCAAATTCGACAATACATAAGCTTACCTTCGATCGTTGTCTCAAACTGGCACAGCGTTGTGATCGCCGCCGAGCCGAACGTAATTACACTCGTTGTAAATATTAGCGCATGTACTTACAACTGGAAAGGCTTAATAAATGAGTCCACATTCCCCGCTCATTGATACCTGGTAAGTTAGTACTATATATTTCGAGACCATTCAGTAAATTTCACAGTCGACCTTTCGCAAGAAGGAGTGTTTATCGATAGATTTCATCGCATTGATCCCACAAAAACTTACAATCAACGCACTAACATTAGTCACCTCCGCTTCTCATAAAATCACGGCAAAATGCGGCATTCCCTGTCCAAAGACACTGGTTTTAAACGGAGAAACAGCTCCACACCATACATTTCTTTGTAGCGACTTGCAATGTTTGCCCCCTGGCGATCCCATAATCCTGTGCGCATAACTAAGTCTCCGATTACTGGAAAATCATTCATTCACTTAAATCTGTCGGTGAACGCCATTTTGGTTTTTCACTAGTAGATTCTTTGTAGGGACCTATTGCTCCCTCTAATCATTTAGGAAGTTGCCAGCTTTTAAATAACATTCAGCAAACCATTTTCTTCGTGCTTTTCTTTTTTCGTTTCTTTCTTAGTGGAATTTGCCACCACTTTGAAATATGAAGTGGCCAAGTGCTCCTACAAGTGCTCCTGCATTAATCAAAAAAATCGATGTTAAAATGCAAACTTTAACAAGCCTATCCATCTGAAAATCGGCGACTGGTCTAAAAGCTAGCCTCGCTCTGCAGTTTTATTTTGCCGGCAACTTACTGAGGATACACTGAGCAAAACAGTTGAAGACCTTACAACTGAGAAAGCCATCACAGAGTTCATTTTTTTCCTCGCCAAGGCCTGGCTGCATAAAACCTTCTTAAGATAAGAGGGCTCTGTTAACTTTAATTTTTTCTTGAACAACAACCTATTGTTTTAAATAATAGTTGCGAGTTCCCTTAGTCTTTTCCTTATTTTTTTTTTGCAAGCCGTTAGTGTCAGAGATCTGATTTTGCATTATGAGAAGGGTGAAAACACGACATAGGCAATCTCTGATACTGACAGAACGTCTGATCCCTAGCTCTACTTCACACAAGCCAGACACGCAAATAAATCTTATGATTATACATGTGTGTAGTATAAATCTTTATAAATAATTCAGAAAGGTTATTATGGTCAGATATTCCTCCCTGATACGGACTATGACAGTAAGTTCTATATCTGTAAGAGCCCGTTCTCCTCACCCCACATTATTATTTCATTTACTTTTTTATTTATTTATATTTTTTGTGGAGAGTACCTCTCTTGCCCTTTTTATGATATGGCTGCTTCCACAAGCGGGAAAGAGGAAGCGAATCTTGTTTTCTGATTGACTTCCTAGGCGGGCAAGATAGGCCTATCTTGCGTGCTTGGGATTTCCCTCGTTGGACCCGCAGGAAAAAAGGTTTCAATATTATTACAACAAGAGCGAAACAATTACCTTTTCTAGCTATTTTACCTGTATTTGAAACAGAATTTTCCAGGTCTTTCGAATCTACATCAGGACAGATATTTAGTCTTTTCTCGAGCTTTGTCTCTCGCAAAACCCATAGGCGAAAAAGGTTAACTGACGGTCCCTTGCATAACGGATGTTCCGCCAGGCAGGACGAAACTTTCTGCAGGAAGACAAAAAATCACAAATACCTATGATTTAATTTCATAAAAAATGGTATTTTGTAGGCTTCAGCGTCATGGAACGTCAATGGAAACTCATGCCCTCATGCCCTCATGCCCTCCCTATACCTCTTTTAAGTCTTTCAAATAAACGCCTGAATTGGCTATTTTGGCACCAAAAGAGTAAACTTAAATTCACGTCGCCTGATGTTTGGCAGGATATATCCATTGTAGCGGAGCCCCATAGCTAAGGAAATGTGGTAATCTACCCATCCGAGAAAATTTGGTAATCACGTGACTGTACAACGAGCGAGCGAGCGAGAGAGAGACTGTCCGTCCGCTCCACAGGCATACCAGTGTAAAATAACTCAATCAACGAACATGAACACAGGAAACAAAATATTGGGTAAGCACGTGCGACAATTCCTCCATAAAAATAATGTGTAACTAGGAAGTTTGACGTTTTAGACGTACAAAACAGCGTTGTAGTCGTGCAAAACAACGGCAAGGGAAAGACAAAAAAGCGTGCTGCACGTGCAATTTGTTTTTTTGCTAATTAGATCTGTTAGTCTTGAACGAGTGTAGCTAAATGTCGTGGGTCGTGGGTGTGGGTAAACGTAGTGGGTAAAAAGAGTATAGAAAAAAATGATAAAGTAAAGTTTGAAAAAAAAAAAAGAAAAAATTATAAAAGTTATGAAACGAAAATCTTCGACTGTTTGATAGCCCTTTTCACTGCTTCTTCTTCGTCCTCTTCCTGATTTTTCCTTGGCCACGTGGGACTTTCCCTTTCAAAACATCACTGTATAAGAGATATGTTGCCGATGAAGATTTATTCATGCCTGAGCGATCGCCGCTAAATAAAAGAAGATGTAAAATATGTCGAAACGTCCAATTTGCAGAAAGTAGGGCACAGTTCTGACTAGCTGAATGGAAATAACTGCTCACTATTAATCTTAATTCGATCTACAATTCCAATGATCAGTGGAGATTTTTTAACCGGGTGGAATGCGATCACCGTGGGAAAGGGGAGGGGAACTGTGGGGAAAAAAGGACAATTTTGAGATAGCTTAGCTATTTCATATTTTTAGATAGAAGTCTTTCTTAAAGAAGTTTTACGTCTCTTAGCTTAGTTAAGGCGAGACTGTATGCAAATTTTATTGATATATGATTTCTCGATTCTTTTTGTTTTGTTTAGTGTACCAAATCTTTGCTGTAACGATTCTGAATATCTTTTTGCTACTTAAATTTTTAATTTTTTTTGGGGGGAGAACGTTTTTTTTAACCTCGACATTTACCCACACCCACGACCCACGACCCACGACATTTAGCTACACTCAGGAGAGCGTCATGTGACTGCGAGCTGCATTCTGTCCTTAATTTCCCGTTACCATTGATGCTCCACCTGGTAAGCTACTAATGCCTGCATTAAGAGAGCGTTAGATTATGGGTTTAAATTTCTCCCAACCAACGCGACCAAAAAATCAAAAATCAGTCCCTATCCCGCACAGAGGTCTCTTGCGTGTCCCTCGCACTTTGAGGTGAAGTTGAAAACAAAGCGTGCAGGAAAAGATGGGAAGGTTAAAGAGGCACATTTCTGCTCTTAACATCGTCAACCTCAAAATCATCCTCCCGCACCTGCTACCCAGGCTAACACAGGCTATCAGTGTGTAAATTATTTATGACCTTAACGTAGTTACACTCGTTCATTTCTGCCAGGGCCACTTAATCATCTCAATCTTGATTTTGCTTAGTATCTTCGTTTGATTTCTTCGTTTCAACTTGTTTCACTCCATCAGTAGCTATCATTCTCGTCGCTGGAGTTGAGACAACCAAGACAGTTGCCCAATAAAAGTTTTAAGTTGTTTGTGGGTAACACTCAAAAAACATTTTCCGATACTGTGACCAAATTTTCCTTTAGCCAAGGCTCTGCCTCTTGGACACTTCTTATTGTCATCTACCAGGTTAAGGGCTGGATTCTACGATGAACAGATTAATGTTTGGCTTTTCATGGGAACTAGTGATAGTTAGTTACTTTCGGCACGAATTATATAAAGTTTTAAATTTAACATTAATTTTAATTGTTGTTAAACACTTACGAAATGGAACACGTTATCTGATTGAATCTTACCACGAGACAAGACAATCCAAACGACAACTTTCCATAGACTAACCTTTTTTTTTTTTTTCCACTGGTTCGACATCTGACCCAACGGAAGAATTTAACATATAAGGTCGACCAGAATTACAATCAGTTTGGTTCTTCTCATGAAAAGTTAGACGTTTGGCATTGGCCTTAGACATTTCTAAGATTAACGGTTAATACCTATTGAGACCACTGTAATCCAGCTAAAGAAACTGCACAGTGTAATATACAGATTTAGCCAAGGCTAAAAGCGAAGCTCCGGTTAATAAATTATATCTTAGTCACCTGCACACGAGAACAATGCAGCTGCTGATCAGATGGATCTGGCTGTTCGCTCTTGATATGTTCCTTATACTGTGAAATACATTTCCGAAGTATCCGTAATTGGCATCTCTTGTTTCCCTCCGACAACAGGATGGAAGAGGCGAGGGTCAGCAGAAGCACGCACATTGAAGGCACCAGATGCATAATGACTCTTTAGACCTGGCAACAAAACTGCAGAATAACATGTCGTTCAGATATAGGCAGCTTTTTACAGTTAATTACAGTTACTCCAGTCACTTAAGAGTCCCAGCAAGAGCCAGCCTAGTATCGATCTCCTTTCCAAACTCTAATGGTTAAGACTTTCTTAGCTAACATGAGGCTGGTAAGATGAGGTTTAAATAATTTTATGCTGTTAATACAAGCTTTTATTTTTCTTCTTTACTCTAAAAGATTTCGTGAAGAATCTCTTTCCATACAAAACTTTCGCGCATCAAGAAATAATTCAGTTCAGTACTCGCGTTGTCATGAACAAACAAGAATCCTTTTGACGTCGAAACGGAAAAGGACAAACTACAGTTATAATAAATAGCATGAAAATGGCCAGTTGATCATCTTTATCATAAATTCCGTAAGCGATCCTTAGGTCTCTAGGCGTGTGCATTTAAACGTCTTAAACCAGGGTACCCAGTACTGTAGAAACTGGTATGATAGCTTCCTCTCTCCACATTCAAAAATCAATGGGCATTTTCCCGATGACCTTTTTTTCCGACTAAGACCAGAATTCACTTCGTTTATTCTCTCATATTTAAATTTAGTAATCTTAGTGAGTTAAATAACAAAAGCCTTAATTTTCAGAAGAAAGCAAAACCCTGAAAGATTCCCCCCTACCCCGGAGGTAGTAGTAAAATGACGCCATCGTGCAGATGGCCTATTGGTACTCGATTGCCGTTCCACAGTATCGACAAAATTACTTTCAAAACTAGAGATAACTAAAACTGAACTACATTCATCGATGTTGCAATTGTGGTTTTTTGACTCTGTTGTTGGAAATCACATGCGCGCGTATCGACGGAAGCAAAACAAATACGGATTGGACAATGAAAGTTATTTTGTCTGGGGACTGGTTGAATTAAGAGAGCCTTGTACGAAGGTACTGTCCCCACCCCTATCTCATAAACTTTGTAATTTTTTTATTATTATTATTATTTCAAGTATTTGCTCTATTCATTTTATTTTTTGGACATATTTCATCAGAAACACATTTAAAAGACAATATTTACTCACCCCACATTTAATAAAATATTTTGTATTTTGTCATAGGTTATTAAAATTCTCATCATTTTATTCTAATACCGCCCTTTTTAAACATCCGCGTTTAAATCTCCAGTCTCCTTGGAAAATGGTATTTCGAAATTATTAAAAGGCCTTAAGTTTCTTTCTTTTATACAAGGTGATTGAAAATCTATTTTCTTTCCATTAACAACGACTACTGCGAAAAATAAATATTACATATCTACATTGTATTTTAAAAACGACATCAGCTAGCAACCGAGTAATTAGGTTTAAAAGTAAAAGACGCAGAAGTGTTAAAAAATATCAATAATTTCCTTCTATGGTATCTTTAAATTGAAATAAATTGCGTCACAAATTATGGTACAGCCAATGTCACGACCCTTCACTGATTTGCTTCCTTTCCAACTGTTTATTTTTTTCCTCTCTCTCTCTCTATCTCTCTCACCTAAGTTGTAGGGAGTTGTAGGACACCTTTTTTGCCAGCTCATATGAACAAAGTGTTTTGATTCAGGCGTTTTGCGTAAAAACACGTTTCCCCTTTTTGCGCAAACACTAAAGCCAAAAACCGATGGAAATGAGTACTGTATGGAACGTATTTCGGGGTAAGGAGGCCTGTTCACTCCCACTCCCACTATGGGACATAAAACAACACATTTTTGACTTTCAAAAATCAGAAATCAAAGGATTTGTCCGTTAAACGACGAGATGTGGTTATGTGTTGAATTTTGACTTTTGCCATATAAGCAGAATTAATTTTTCCTGCATGGATCTTGCTCGTTATACCCAGGTGAAAATCAGCAGCAGTCAGCGCGACCTTTCTTCTTATTAACGCCTAATTCCGTCAAGGAACTGCTCGGTTTAGTTGGGTTCAATGTTTGCTAAATCACCCCTTTAGGAAGCATAGCAGCTTGGTCCCTATACGATCTCTCTGTGACGTTTTCAAGCGAATTATGCATAACATTATACCTTAAATTGGACTGGGACAACTGAGCTTCTTTGAAGAAAGTCTTCTTGGGTAACAGCGATCGCAGAAATCACGACTCTTGCTGGATAAGCGAGCAGTTTACTAGCAGTCGGTTTATGCACCTATTTATTGGTGAAAATGTCAAAGAGAGCCGATGTGATAATAATAAGTATTGAAATAGTATTTGCTTTTTCGAAAATATCGAGTTAACTAATCGGTGACGTGCCATTGTAAGGATAATTCGGATGTTTAACTTATCTGGCAGATTTTGACAACATGGCTTTTTTATTAAATACGTAATAAATAAATTATATTTTTTAGATAAATCTTGCAGCTTTTTCATTTGTTAGGTTACGGCCCCAATGAAAATCACCAATGTGATGTGGGCCCCCTTTTTAAAGGTTTCACCGAGTAGACTGAAGGTACAGTTGGAAGGCGATCATTCGAACCGCGATTGTAGAGCTATCTATGTAATTGCTTTCATCAGGTTAGCTTTAAATGTGACAGAATCCTCAATATTCTGTATCATTCACAAGAAGTGAAAACTTTTAATTGCTATCATCGTCATCATCTTTATTAAATCAGTAGAGGCCGGGAAACAATACCCACCAACTATTAACGTCAACTTTGCAAACATTAAAACAACGCACGTAGTAATTCATGTCTAATTATCAGTAACGTGGTTATTTTAATGAATTTATAGCTAGACGAAGTAACAATCTTAATATCCATATTTATACACCGTTAATTACTAATAAATAAAATATCCTTAAATTTAGCTAAAGACGGGATTTACGTCCCTTCGGGGTGGAGCTGATACCAAGCATCGCAGATCTTGCGAGAAAAGAATAAAGCTATTTTAATATTACAATATTCAGACACATTGTTGGAGGGGAGGTCTTAAACTGTCATACATTTCAGTCTCTCTTATAATGTGGACCTTTAAGTGTCAATGTATTTTGCATAATAATTAAAGCCATCATCTACAACATCGCATCACTTAAAAAAAAAACACAATTGAAGATAATTATTTAGCAGTTCAACATTTACGTTAATTCAAATTTTGTTCTCTTTTTTTCCCTGGGAATGGTCAGGAGTTTGGGTTATGTATTATTGGCAAAGAGTTTGAAATAAAAGAAGGTAACATAAAATGGAACCGACAGTTGTTTTGTGTCCAATATGGGCTATATGGTTTTTCCGTTTTGGTCATAAATATCGATTTTGGCTATTTTGCCGCCATTTTGGTCATAAATAGGGTAAATTTTTTTAGTCTTGAATGCACTTTTTAGAAGAAGCTACTTCCTTATCATGTCCCCCTAACCTAATAAAAGCAGATAAACAATTTAACATTGGTCTGAACTAGGGAAATAATTATAAGGCAGGTCTGAAACAGGGTATTGATTTAAGGGTCAGGTCATAAATAGGGTATCAAATTTTTGGTTAGGTCATAAATAGGGTAGGGAAAATCGCAGATTTTGGTCATAAATAGGGTAAGGGTTTTGGGAAGCGGGCCGCACACCCCTACCCAATTTTTCTGCGAGTACCCCCCCGGGTTTTGTGTCCAGATGGTCGATATATGCTGAATGTGAGCTTTAGGCTTTGCAAAATTCTAAATTTGGATTAATTTCACCGATCTGTATATCGCAAAGCATAATATATAGATTTAGCCAAGGCTAAAAGGCGAAGCATCCATTTATATGCTGTTAATTACTTAAACTCAAAAATCAAAACGAAAAAGCGTCAACTTATGCAAAGAAATCCAGAAATTTATAATTAAACTGATTTTAAAACAGAAAGAGAAAATTATAAATCAAAATCGATCACAGTTAACTTCTTGGCAAAAAAGTATACTTGTGCATCACTGAATGCATAAGACGCTGCATAAGTTTTCACACATGGATTCACATGTCAAAATTTTGACCATTTGCGGGGAGGGAGACTAGGTTATTACTGGAGTGTGACCAAAAGCACGACCAAGCAAAAAACAAAGCCTTAGAAATTTATTTCCGAAACTTTTTCCGTAAGTCGAACACAAGAACTTCAATCTAGATTTTTACTCTAGCAACTTCGTTGGCTCCCTCTAAGGTGGTTTATTTTGCACCAAAAAGAAACGCAACGTACATGTCTGGGATTCCCTTCCCAACTCTACTGAGTTTTTACCCCTACCCATAGAGTCTGTGCGGACGGTGTACACTGACGTCATAACCAAATTTTTTGGCATCGATAGGTTCCAATTTACTCAGTCTGCGTAGCTGGCGGTATTGAGTGGGTACGAGATTAAAGTTTTGGCGGCGGAGCCGTGTTCCAAAAAAAGGGAGTAGGAACGAGGCGGTTGACGGCTACGCTGTCAAATCTCACTCGACTATATTACAACGGCTCCGCCGCCAAATCTCACCCGACTACTAGACAATACCGCCAGCTACGCAGGCTACCATTTAAAATACCTATGGAGCTCCGCTGCGACATACACAAGTTTACTAGTTTCTGTAACTATTCCGTGCTACCCTATTTAAGTAAAGTGTATTATTATTATTATTATTATATTAATATTAATTATATTATTATTATTATTATTAATATAATATTATTGTTAATAAAGAATTATTATTATTATTAATAATAATGAAGAAAAAAACTTCCCAGCCATTTTAAGAAAGTCACGAAAATTTATATACGGTACAGTAGCTTTTCTCGATAATTTTATTTGCATTGTGATATGATTAGGTTTGGAGGCATGGGTATCATTTGCATTCGTCCCACCGGTTGAGGTGCGAATTCCTCGCAGAACAGAAAGGCCCGAGCTCATTTCGTAATCATAAACCAAGGTGTTTATTAGTTCTACATGAGCTCTGATACAAGGAAGTTTATACTCCCAATACCTATTTCTTGAATTAGAAGAAACGTACAGCAGTAAAAGCCGATGAAGATGCATTGCACATGAAAATGTATACAGCAGGATTTTCAGCCACAGCTGCTAAAGGATATTCCAAAAATGGCGGGGAACAAGTTATTCGACTTAAGAGCAAGGTTTGGAGCAATTTAAAGTGCTTTTATAACTAAAGAGTGCATTTTAAAGAATAGCACGAATAGTAATAGGCTTTGTTTTAAGAATAAACAAGGATTGGAACTTCTTGTCCCGAAAATTCGAACTGATGGCTCGTTCCTAAAAGCCGATGCCAGAAATTTTAGTCAAAACATCAGCAAATGTTTTTACTAGACACGATTTTCTTTGAACAGTAGGGTCCACGTGAACACTAATTTCATAACAAAAAATATTTACCAGCAGTAAAATCGAATTATTTCAAATTATTTCCTAATGATATCTCTTATTCTTTGCAAAGTTTCTTAGCCATCGAGTTAAAACTATGAAAGGTTATGACGAAACGTTCGTCAGAGCTCAATGCGCCCGTAATAAAAACAGAGCCACCTTACTAGCCAACAATTACCAGATTCATAATGCTGCGCATTGTAATAAAAAATTTCTCAAATCTGCCTAACCCTCTTTTTGCCCATATTTGGGTGTAAGTAATATCCGATATTTAAGCAGTGACGTCACGGTCTTGCATTTATTTCTCGCGGTTCGAGGCCGGGTGACCCAGTGTGTCACTGTTGGTTGTGGACAGTATGGATTGCGTTGGTTGAGTTGTTTCTGAGAACCTAACAGGTGAGCGAGCTTACGATTTCTTGTTTGGAAGGGCTATTAGTGCCCTGTTTGCAGCAGCTGATCAAGGGATAGGGTTAAACGCTCATTTTTTTGTCAGAGCCAGCCTGTTTTTTGTAGCTCGATTTACATTGAGTCAGCCCTCAACTCCACTGAGGAATGCGACCAATTTGCGGACTTTTTGTTTTGGATTATCTTCCTGCCTTTCGAGAGATTTTTGTCAGAACCAGCGTGTTCTTTGCAGCATTATTTGATCAAGTCGTTGAAATCCTCTTACTACACTACCATCATTACTGAAAACTCAACTGATCAACGGGTTTTGTTTAATACAGTATCAAAACTACTACAAAAGCAATCAACTGCACGGTATCCATCTTCTTGTAGTGATGCACTAGCTAATTCTTTCGCTAATTATTTCATTGACAAGATTGATCGTATCCATGCCACACTAATAGAGAAGAATTCTGCGCAAGGTAATGATGCTAATGAAGTGACTCTTGGTAACTACGTGGAATGTAACTCTGTGTTTTCAGACTTTATTAATGTCAGTTACGAAGACATCAAGGGACTTGCATTGAGATGCATTAATAAATCCTGTGTACTTGATCCTCTGCCTGCAGTGGTAATGAAGGAATGTTTCAATTTACTAACTCCTGTGTGGACTAACATAGTGAATACATCTTTATCTACTGGAGTTATGCCTGATGTCTTGAAGATTGCAGCTGTGACACCGACTTTAAAGAAACATAATGCTGATTTCACTAAATATGAAAGTTTTCGACCTATTTCTAATTTGAAGTTTGTGTCCAAGCTTGTGGAAAAAGCGGTATGTGTCCAGCTTACAGACTATATTACATGTAATGGTCTTTCGGAAACGTTTCAATCCGCATACAAGTCATTTCACTCCACTGAAACGGCTCTACTGAGGGTTCAAAATGACATTCTTTGTGCTTTAGATCGTAATGAGTCGGTCATACTGGTACTTTCGGATCTGTCGGCGGCGTTTGATACGGTGGACCATACTCTTCTAGTGACAAGGCTGTCTACTTGTTGTGGTTTTCAAGGAACTGTGCTTAAGTGGCTGAAATCATACCTGTCTTCACGTAAGCTGTTTGTTAAAGTTGGGAATAGTCATTCTTCACAACGTGCATTGAAGTGTGGTGTCCCTCAGGGATCAGTTCTGGGCCCTTTGTTGTATTTGTTATACACATCACCTATTGCGGACATAATAAATGATCATGGACTATCATACCATCTATATGCTGACGACACCCAATTATATATTACCTTTAAATCTACCAGCTTGAATGACATCCAACAAGTGAAGTTGAGAGTGGAATACTGTGTGAGGGACATTGATGAATGGATGATAAGAAACTATCTTAAACTAAACCAGGACAAAACGGACCTTGTAGTCATCAGTTCCAGATTCCATCCTATGTCTGACATCGGTCACATTACTGTTGGTTCTGAGTGCATTGCACCTCGTGACTCTGTTCGTAATTTAGGGGTTCAGTTTGATAGCATATTTAGTTTTGAGGAGCACATTAAGAACATTTGTAAATCATCATTCTATCATTTGAGAAATATTGCTAAAATCCGCAAGTACTTAAGCCAAGATACATGTAAAATCTTAGTCCATGCATTTACTAGTTCGAAACTTGATCACTGTAATTCCTTATTACATGGCCTTCCTAAGTATCTGTTAGCTAGACTACATGCAGTTCAGAATGCTGCAGCTCGTGTTGTCACATTGACACCGAGGCATGTTCATATAACTCCTATTTTAATTAATCTTCATTGGTTACCAGTTGAGTTTAGAATAACTTTTAAAGTCCTTTTATTGGTATACAAGGCCCTTCATGGCCTTGCACCTTCTTATATTTCTGACCTTTTGAATTTTAAAACATACTCTAGGTCATTGCGTTCTTCATGTAAAGAATATTTAGTGGTTCCAAGAAGCAGATTGAAAACATATGGAGACAGAGCTTTCTCTATTGCAGGACCTAAATTGTGGAACGATTTACCTCTAGAGATTAGGAAATGTGCTTCAGTGGCAACTTTTAAGCAATCCCTTAAAACTTTTTTATTTAAGTTAGCATATAGGTTATGAGATTCCTTTTGTTTTGAGATGTTTTTGATGTATATAGTAGATGACTTAGGCTATATTTGAATTATATTGTATATTGTAGATATTTTATATTTTAGATTTTTTATATTTTATTTTGTAATTAGGTAGCGCTTTGGACAATTATTGGATTTTAGCGCTATATAAATAAAATTATTATTATTTATTATTATTATTTACATTGGGCCAGCCGTCAACTCCCGTGAGGAATGCAAGGTTCAAGAAAACCTTTCTAGTCACGAGAAAAACATTTGACTTTATTTTAGGCGGATTCCAACTCACATCGAAAGAAACATATTCACAAAGATCCCGTTATCATCTCGAAAGCAAAGGTTTCCTTCAGAGAGTCGTGTTGTTTTGACTACACGCGGAAAAGCAACGAAAATGCAAAAAGGGCGCTAAATCGATAATATCGTCCCCAGAGCAACTCGGCTGACCAAAAAAAGGGACTGGCTCTGAGAACGAAAATGCTAAAGCGAACTTTTGCCCATGCGCAGTGATGAGATACGTTATGATAATTTATTTGACGTTCAATTTAATGCGTCGTTTGTGTGACGCCCAAACTGAGACGCCAAAAGACGTTTTGTCCTTATTGGAAAGATGGATGAAATGTCTTGGGCGAATTTAGTTCTTTAAAAGAATTTAGTTCATTCATAATAGGTCGCAGAATCGTTGAATATTTATTGCATGGGAAGCTTTTGAATCAGTAAAGAATGAAACACAATCCCTAATGTTACTAATGAGAACGGTAAAAGTAAAGTTAGTGATGACGATGCAGATTGAGCTGGTTACTTCACATAGAAGAAGTTATTTTGTAGATAGATTGAACCAATAATAATTACTTTAAAAAAAGGAGAAATCAATGTGTAAAGGTTTATCAATAATGTTTCAAATATGTTATCTTTTACATAGCAGTTAAAAAGAAACCTTCATAACTTTTACCCTCCCCTCTCAAAATCCTCTGTCCGCACCCCCTTGTTGTCTACATAATTAACGCACCCTTATGGAAATGTTGTAGTTAATTTTTTATCTCAGGTAATTTTTATTTTTCCTTTGTTTGAACTTCGTTAGCATAGATCACCATATCCAAAAACAAAAGAAAAATAAAAATTACCTGAGATAAAAATTATTAACAACACAAACATTAATACATGTATCTTGTATAATTTTATTTGAATTCAAACTGTATAGACCCCATTTCCCAGCAAGAAAGCTAAGGTCCTATTCATTTTATCAATTTTTTTAAATACCTAATTTTGGGGTTATATTTTCCAGTCCAATGGAAAGTAGTTCAGGAGTAATGAAAAGAACCTAAATGAACTTTTTGCGAATTTCATGGCCATTTTCCTTTCTTATCAAGCATGACTTTCGAGAATGCTTCACTGAAATTTAATGCCAGTTGCTACATGAAAGTCTCTGAAGTATCCAGAACGCAGATGTCGTCAAGAGTTATGTTGGAGGAAAATTGGTTTTAAATAGTAAAAGAAGTAAAAGGAATATCGATATAAAGATTTCTTAACGTCCCTTGTTTAACTTTATTTTTCTGCTTGAAGGTATAGAGTAGATCTAACAACCTTTAGTGCTGTGCTATGTTTGCCTATCTTATTTATGCAATCGCACCAGACCAAAGATTACAAAATATCTTTTTCTCTACCATTACAAGTCTGTTATCATCAGAATCCGCGGTTAACAAAAGATTCAGTCAAGAACAGCTTGACTGCATTCTTGCTCTGAATGTGGTGCCACCTTACTGAAATACTGGGTGTAACGGTAAACCAAAGATTTTTCATCGCAATTGTTATTCCCCTCGTAGCATCTCAGCCAAGCTGCACTAACAGAGCAGATGAGTTTGTCTTTCCTCACAGCTTCGACAAACTTTTAGCTGCAAGTATAGGCCATTAAACGGGGTACCCCCCCCCCCCCCACCCGGACAGGACTGTCTATGGAATTTAAAGGAGTGCAATGAGGTAAAAGGAAGTTAATTTGACCTCCAATAAGACCAAAGAACAGCCAGAAAAGGCCTAATTCTCTCTTAGAGGGATTTTCGTCAAAGCACGAAGCCGTACTTTATATACAGTAAAAACCCACATATGAGAACCTAGAATTTTCGAGGTCAGGCTGAACAGGTTCTTATATTTTACGGTAGTTTTTCAGAATTCAGGCTGATTAGGTTGTTAATTGCTTCTTTTTTTTACAGATTGTCGTAGTGTAACCATTGGCAGAAATATTGTCCTACTAGTACAAAATCGTTTATGAAAAACATTTTTTTTAGTGAAAATCCAAACAAATGTACAACTGATTCAATAGTTTCTCGCACAACTAAAATCCAGAATTTTGAGCATCAAAATTGGAGCGATTTTTTTTGTTGTTGTTGTTTTTTTGTTTTTTTTGGCATAAGAACCTATTTTTCTTTGCCAGGCTGAACAGGGTCTTATACTTTTGGCTATTTAAGAAACGGTCCAGATAAGAACGATAGCAACAACGGCAACGAGCATTTCAGCCTGTAGGTTCTTATATGCGGGTTTTTACTGTATAGCGTAGGATCATTGTTTGTACAACGAATCTACCTCTTTCGATAGGTATTTGTATGTTCTTGGCTGGGTGATTAAAACCGTTAAGACAAATTCAAAAACAACTTGGACTTTTATCTTTGTGAAGTTTATTACACCTCTATATCCGGATGAAAAGTTCAACGGAGAGGACAAAGCAACTGTGAATGGAATTATTATTTTCTAATATTTCTCCATCTAAACAATTTTTGTACGTCAATTATGGCTTTCACACGCTGATGAATTTCTTTACAACTCGACTCTTTGGCAAGAACTTGCAAGCTTGTTGTAAGTTTTTTCGACAAATTTAGCGTATTTATCAATGAGCTTTGAGTTGCATTCCTGATTTTCAGTCTTGTAACAGTCAAACCAAACCTTTGCGTCACTACAGATGTTTTCGCCAGGTTGCGTCATCAACGTCAAAAACCGTTTATTGCATTTGATGTGAACATCCCTGGCGCAGGCAATATCTTCATCGACTGAAACATTAAAAAAAAAAGGCCAGAAGCAATTTTAACTTGTCTTGAAAGTTATGTTTATAATCCGACATATTGATTCATACCATTGATGTATTATATAATTATTCACTACTACGCCTACGAGTCCCGCGG